GTATTCTTTGGTTGTTATCCCAACTCTTGGTTGGTATCCGAGGTTTGCTATCCCAACTCTTGGTTGGAATCCTTTGATTGTTATCCCAACTCTTGGTTGGTATTTTTTGGTTGATGTTTCATATTGGCATTCGCTGTTTTGCATCCCCGCATGTTGCAAATTTCTGGGTTCTTTTTATATTCAATCACCTTCTGCCTTGAATGTTTGAAAGTTGATGTTTTTCATCCTTTTAGGTCCAAGTCGGTTGAATAGAGGCAGCTGTAGCACCCCAAAATTTGCCCTTCCGTTTTAACCTTAACTGGCTTTTCTTTCTCTGCATTTTGCATTTCCACATATCATAGCATTTGTTCTTGAGGCATGGGATCAAGGAATTTTTGTGGCTCAGGGTTTCATTTTTAGCGCAAGAGTCTGAACAGTAAGCATCAGGAGCTCTGACATTTATTTTGCCCGACGGTCGAACGGACGATTTTATTTTTATTTTGCAGGATATTTTTAGCTCCGGAGGCAACACTCAGGCTATCCCAAGCATTCCTATAGTTATAATATTCAAGAGCAAGTTCCAGAGGATTAACAGGGCTCAAAACGGATGAAAATAGGCAATTGTGCACTTTTCCCTCCAAAAGGCGCCAAAATTCAAATTTTCAAGGTGTTAACCGATTAACCAATATGGTTAACTAGTTAACCATAGCAAAATTAGGACATATTTAAATTTTCAAAGGTGTTAACCGATTAATCAAAATGGTTATCCGATTAACCAAGGAAAATTTTGCTCTGCACGTGAGTTTCCAAAGGCAGCACTTTGGGGTCCATTTTGATCACTTGTGAATTTGATTTTACACCAAAAGAAGGATCTAGAATCATTCCAAATTTTGGTTAATTTTCAAATCAACTCAAATTCCCTCCAATTTTCCATTCCTAATCCCATTCCAATTTTTATTACACACTCCAAACCACATTCCATTCCTAACCTAGAGCATATTTAAATGAATTTGCTCCAAACCTCACATAATCAATCCTCATAATTCCATTTCATTTTCAAAATTCACTTTCACTCTTGAAATTTTTCTCTCAACTTTTTTCACTCCAAAAACTCCATTAGAGCTCTCACTTGAGTTCTTTGATTCTCCATTGGAATCATTGAATTCTAGAGCTAAACCTTCATCCTTCATCCTTATTATCTTCAATTCTCCATTCAATTTTCGTTTGGATTTGGATCGGATCTTGGAAGCTAATTTGGAAGAGCTTATTTGGATAATTTTTGCTTGATTTTGGTTGATCTTCACTCCTACAACAAGAAAGCTCTTGGATCTTGAAGAATCTTTGGGTTACTTGCTTGGATCTGCTCATTTCAAGTGAATCAACATTCACCAAAGCAAATCTCCGCTTTGTAGGCTGAAAATTCTAGATCTGATTCTGTTTTTTAGCTTGTTTGCATAATCAATGTAGATCTTCAAATTTTGCTTGATTTTGTTGATTTTGATCTTTATGATTTGTGATATCATTGTTTGAATGTGTTTACATGTTGTTGGATCACTGATTTCTGGTGTTAAATTCGTGCATAATTGATTACATGATCATTTGGATGATTGCACATTGGATTAATTACTGAAAGTGCTTTTGAGTTGCTGATTTTCTGCTTCTGGTGCAGTGTTAATCGGTTAACCAGTTGCAGTACAAACTGGTTAATCGGTTAACCAATGCGAATTTTTAATTTTTTAAAATGGTTAATCGGTTAACCAATAGTGTTAACCGATTAACACTGAACCATAATGACATTTTGGTTGTTTTCAAGCTTATTTTGATGTCATCCCACTTTGAATCTTTGTGGACCGATATGATGCATTTATGTGGGTTGTTTTGGACGTGTTTCACTGTTCTTGATTGTTTAATATTGATTCTTCGACACGTGATGTTCGGTTTTCATTTGAATGCATACTTTGTGGATGTTGTTCAAGTGATGATCATTTGTTTTGCTTGAGTTTGAAGAATTGTTTGGTTGAGATGTGTTTGTGGTGACTGCTGTCCCACATTTTTTTTCCTCCCACTTTTCTTTGATGATTGATGGTAATGGTCGTAGGAGCTTGCTTCTCCCATTTCATCTCATCCTTGCATCTTTGGTGTTTTCATTTCATCTTTCATGTCATTTTATGATTGAATCGCTTTGTGTTTTCTTGGTCTTTTGCCATGATCCCTTAGGATTCCTAGTCCCTCCGTTTAGGACGGGAGTAGGAGAGACATTAGGTGTTCAATCTAAGCGTGCTAACATTAGGATAGATTTCCCTTTCAATCCCAACTTTAGGACCACTTTGCATGACAATGTTAGGTCCGAGTTTCTCTTAGACCTTCCGTGCGTCTCTCTTCTCATCTCAAAACACATTCTAACTTATCTAATAAATACGATGAATGTTATACGCTACGAGTCTTAAGTACATGGGAAATGATGAGTGAGGGGTCTCCTCTCGCTTGTCTAGAGTGTTTAGTGTACGTCCCATCTGGGGGAGATATGCGACGCATTCGTTCCTATGTCATAGTCTTTAGTGCAACGTGAATCACAAATCAAACTAACTCACTTCACTAAAACATAAAACAAAACATCAAATCTTTTTATCCTTCGGGATTAATTGGAAACCATTTTCAGAAAGAGTGTGTTAAGTTTTGGTTCTACTATTAATTGGAGACTCGCCGAAAATTTTCCATTAAGATGATTCATCGCAATATGCTTCCCAAGAATCAAACAACCAAACTCTAATATTAGATGTTAGAATTAAAACGAATTCTTGATGTGGAATTTCACTAAAACTATGGAGAATTCTGTATCAATCTTGATGAAAAAGAATCAATCTTTATGATTGATAACTCCTCTTATTCTTCACTCTTCACTCGAGTGAATCAACCAACCTTGGTTCCAATATGATTCTGCTGCACAATGATTATCAAAGAAGAAAAGAAAAAATGAATTGAGGAAGAAAAAAAATTAGGGCTTCAAAGGGGAAGAAGAGTTGTGAATTCTGCAGAGAAACTTCTGCTCTTTTATTTTACAAACTGTAATGTTATTCTCTTCTTACAATGATAAGGTATCTCTATGTTTATAATCTATTTATAGGTTGAGATTACTTGCACACCAAACAATCTCCAACTAAACTAACTAACTTAGATAAAACAAACAAATAAAACTAAGTCGAAATTTCTGTCGATATACACTTCTCTTATATTTTAACGGTTATATAAATTTGACACACATAATATTTCGACAACTCCTTACTTCTGTCGACAACATACTTCAACACAAAAAATTACAAATTTCCGCTTAATTTTAACAAAGCTACCATTCATTCATTCCATTCACTTATCCATTATTTACTCACCTATCCATTATTTACTAGTTTATTATTTATCCACTATAAAGTCATATATATAGTCTTAGCTTATCAGCTATTCACAACTACTTAGCAAACAAAGTTCCCCGATTTCAAGAGGGGCAACATCTTAAAAAACACATAACTCTAAAATTCATGGTAAGATTGTAAGAGAGTGAGTCACATAATTTATTATAGATTGTGATATTTTTACAAATTGAATAGACCGTCAAGTTAATATTTAAATTATTGTTTTCTCTTAAATTTAGTCTATTAAATATATAAATATTAGTAGTCTTTAAAATATAATACATAAAATCTATCAATTTAATCTAGTAGTATATAAATGTGAGTTTAGTCTTTTAACATGTTAATGACATGAACTACATTGATATATTTTACAAACGATTTATTACATTTATATATTTTTGGACTAAATTTGATAGACAATGATAGTTTAGAAAATAAATTGATAGTTTATTTTTCATAAAATTGTTGTTTTCAAGTCCTTAAGCTTTTGAATTGTGTACTTTTTCTCCAAATTCAAAATCTTTACTAATATTAAAAGCCCTTGCTCAGATTCTACCCTTGACATGATGAACTCATTGTGCAAATAATTTCACCAAGCAAGTTGAATAATGGAGTTTAAAATCTCTAAGTTTCGATCATGTTGTAGTTATCAGTTTCAACTACGTGTCATTTTGTTAGAACATGTCTAGAAACAACTTTGTATTATGTAAAGTGCTACTATGTGGCCTTTTCGCATTGCCATTATCAATTGTGAGCAAGCCGGTGTCAGACTTTGATACTTTTCTGTATGCCTGAAATTGGAGTTATTTCCACTTTGTCATGGTGGTCTGTTTTGGAGTGGCAGCAGCGGTTGTTTTTGTTTGTTATCTCTGATCAATTTTTGTTTGTTATCTCTGATCAATTGTCAATAGACTAAAATATTCAGGATTTGTTTGTTATCTCTCTGATCAATTGTCAATAGACTAAAATATTCAGGATTCAACAGACCTCATCAAAATATTCAGGATTTGTTTGTTATCTCTCTGATCAATTGTCAATAGACTAAAATATTCAGGATTCAACAGACCTCATCGTCACATGTCCATCTAAAATGTCACATATCCTTCTAAAATCTTTAAAATAGTATGAATTATTTTTCTTATAAACCTAACGTTTCCTCAATTTACAGTTGATGTTGAATTTTACCATTCACACTTGAATGAATTCAAACAAATCATGTTTTTCTTGGGTAACAGTTTTGAAATTTTAAAATATATAAAAATGATAGTTTCTAAAGTTACCACTAGTCTCCATGATAGAATATAGTTTGTGCATAGCTTTGTTTCTTGATTGAGGAAACAATCATCTCCCTAAAGGGACTGCTAAACTTCATAGAGGAAGTTATCCATATTTAACGATTTTCTTTTTTGATCATTTGATGAATCCTAAACAAAAAATACCAAGATTTTCTTATATGCATTTTTCACATTGGCGGTAAACAACATATACTGCTGAAGCTCTGAATCAAGACGCTAGAGTAATAGGCATAAAACAATGAAAGAACATAATAGTCTCGAGCTGGGCTATTCATTACATCAGTCATTTTATCCTCCTAAAATTCTCTTCATATTCATCTCATCCTGACCAACAAACTGCATCAATCTCATCTCTTGCAGACTTATACAACTCCAGCCTCTTAGCACATTGCTGTCTCCTTTCCATCAATACGGAATCCTCATCCAGCAACTGTGCAAGTTGCATTACCTGAAAAATAAACCACAAAAATTAGTCGAGAAATACTTACTAATGCGGATGACGAGAATGCATTTGATGCGTTTAACCTCTTTTCTGCCAAGTTGAGCGTAAAAGTGATCAAGCAAAGATAGCTTTGCTTCCCTCACTTGACAATGAACAACAGCCTTTGGAATGGTATTCCTCAATGTTTCAGATACCATCCCAACATAAGATAAAACATTTGAACCAATCCTTTGCAAGTGTCCGTCAGCAGAGGCAGGAGCTGGATTCCCTCCCTTGTCGACGACTTCTTGTGGGAGTTTACGGAAGAAATCAACTGTGATATAGGAAGATTCCATTTCCACAAGTCTTAATGTTGTCTTCTTGCCGTCGTCACGGAATCTCTCTAACGCCTCATTAGCTGCTATTGCTATTTCAGACCGAAGAGTTGGAAAGCGCTTCAATTCCTGCAACCATTGTCAAAACTTACTAACAAGGCTAAAACCACATTTCTTTTCATTTCTTATAGGCAGTATTCCAATTCAAACCTCTGTTTCAGAAATTGACTTTCTCACGAGTTCCTTTAGGACAAAATGAACCTGTGCCACAGATAACAAAAAAATTCAAGATCATAAAATAAGATCAATCATTGTGAAGAAAATCAAAACAGAATCAGTGAACTATTTAAAGCAAAAATGAATCACTTACAGCATCTACAGAAGCTTGCGCGGGACCTTTGAAGTAATTCAGTGAGCTTTCTAGGAGACGTCGGTAACCTTGCTCAGGGGCGATCAGATGAGGTTGGTATCCATCTGCCTCAGAAATAACATTTCTCACATTTTGCAGTGATAAATGACGCTCCAGTGGAATCTTTCTCAATGCAGCAGGAAGCTGGTAATCGAAAACTATATATATTTTGTCACCACCTGGTCGCCTAGGAAAAGAACAAACAACACAATAAAATTAGAAAGGTTGGGGATTTTCCCTCCTGCAAGTATTCAAAAAAAGGGTTGTATTTTCAAGATTTTCTTAAAGAATCAAGTATCGACTCAAACCCCAATTTAAACATATAAACCAATAAACACAGCAACCAACTAATTTTCTCTACATTTAAGACCCAAATTTATTTCCTTACCCTCCATCTAAATGCTCCTTAAACACCCGGTCAAAAGCACGGCATAATTCTAGAATAGTGTACAGTTGGGCCTGACAAAACAGAAGTTTGGATGAATAAATATCCTAATAGGAATTATTTTAACTTAAATTGATAGCTGATAGCACAAAATACTCCTCACCCCAGCATCTATGGCAACTGGTATACCAAGGTGAGCCAACTCTGCTTCAAGGTCGTCAATGCTTCTATTAATGAAAGATGCAATTCCTGGAATCCGAGCTCTTATCACAGACTCTAAATGCTGGAACCAGATGAGTTTTATAATTAACCAGATAAATATGTTAAGTTAGAAGAAAATAATAGCCAAAAAAGCATGTCCCCCAACAGCTATCGGAAACAATACAAGGATACATAGAAACCTTAGAGAGAAGCCTTGCTAGATATTCCGAGCCCATTTTGCTGCTCAAGTGTGCATAATCAGGATTGGTGGCAAAAAATTCACGCTCTCTTTGACGAGCAGCAATCATATCTACTTTCCTATTAATATCTTCCTGAGAACGGTTGACAATTCCTACCCAAGGATTACGAAGTCGGTATGATCTTCCCTCAAGGACCTACAACACAACAAAATCGGAACATTAGCTACCCCAATATGCAAAAATCATTGAGTACCCATGTCAATTAACATTAGTAGAAAATCCACAAAAAGTTTCATCGAGGAGCATTCAGCCAAATATATAAGTTTACTCAGTGCACTAGAAAAGCTAAGATTCTTACATCCAAAGCATTTGTGCCTTTGTCCATCAAATCAATCTTTGTCAACACACCATATGTTCGTTCACCTAAGTGGAAAATATTTGAATGCATAATCAAGAAAAATCACAATAGGATTATGAGAAAATAAATGCATATAGTTTGCATAGTTCAAGCATGAATGTGAGCAAAACACCACAAGCATACCAGCAGGGTCAACTTGTCTGGAAACCTTGACGGCATCAGATGTTGCTACATCTTGATTTGCAGGAGTAATGGCCAAAATTAAGCAATTAGGCTGCAATTCAAAGAAAACAAATCACAAGTAGATAAATGAAAGCATTAAAAGTGCAGTCAACCATGCAAACTTCAAAATTCAAATTATTATTATTTTGACACAGGTTCAATAGCATTATGTCAGAATGGGAAAAGGTTGAAAAGCCCCATATTTAGATTTCACAGTATGATCAAATATCGCCTGTCATCACTCACAAGTACTGGTGAAGTGATTCAAATAAAGATAGTGAACTTATTATATCAATCTCCAATAGATTTCTTCAATGCAGTCTAGCAACTACAAAAATAATGCGATATATGAAAAATTAAAGACCCCTAAGTAGAAAACTATATGATAAAAGGATAAACACATTATTTCTTTTTCTACTCTGTTTTGATATCATAAAAAGGACACCACAGTCTGTGTAAAATTGTCAACTACAATCTTCATTGTTTTGTAAACTTCAAAAACTTGAAAACAATCCCCCCCAACCTTGCTCAGATATAACTTCTTGGATCATGTGATTATCATTAAGCCAAAAGCCATAGCTGCTGGCAAATGCGTAACTTTATTTCCCCAAGGTTTTAGAGCCCACATCTAGTTTTTAAAGAGCTGCGCCATTACAGATTTACAAGCTACATAGACTGTGATGTTATACCCATGAATCCTAGGGTAAGACTGACCAAACAAAGCCGACAAAACTGGCATGACAAATTGTTTAGTAAGTAACTTACATGTATTACTGCTTAAGTAGAAAATAAGGGTAAGAGATCAACTTCAGACATACCCATTAGATTGAAATGAATGACTTTTTATGTACTAGTGTACTCTTTTTCAAACATAATAAAAACAAATCATCCATTTTTTCAAAAAATAAGACAGGAAATTCTGTTTGTAGCAATGTGGATAAAAGTACGTCTTTCAAGTTTAAACTACCTTGTCAACATATGAGTGGATCAAGTTCTCAATGTCTTGAACAATACTTTCTGGCTGTCCCTCTGATAAAGTAAAATCAAAATATTAACTACAAACTTAAAAAAGGAAAAAGGAAATTGTTGATATAAAATATAAGATTATTTATAAAAAGATAGTAAAAAAAAAACGTACCTACAGCGACCTTTGTTAAACCAGGCAGGTCTACCAGTGTCAAATTGACAACTACCAACAATAACAACAACTTTAAAAAATAATAATAATGGTAATGAGAAGAAAAACGGCATTAATCACATGAATACCACAAAACAAAATGGAAAATCCATAATCCACACAGACTGTGGACACTCCCACGGGCAGAGGACAGATCACACATATACAATAATATTAGAGGATATACAACTCCATTAAGACATCAGGATGGGTGATTCCTAATTTCCAAACTTCTTACAACATAGAAGATACTTGTGGTTTAACAACTTATCAAAGCAAAATGCAATTCAATTGAAATTGTTAATAAATGGAAAAACAGAATCAGCCTTAATTGATAAGCAAGGCACTCAGAAAGCGTGCATTAAACATGAAATGAACAAACATCAAATAAAGCAATAAAATAGCACAAATAGTTAATAGAGGTACTATCAAGTATAAAGGGATTGTAGAAATGGAAAGGACTGATTACATATTATTTCCAACAAATATCTACGGTAATTTGGTGACTCGAATCATGTCTGACAATAAGAACAAGCACCATTTACTACTTGAAATCAACCCCAGAAAAAATAGAGAAAAAAAATGAAACCAAGGGATGCATGCCACTTAAATGAAATGTGAAGTATAAGCTCTTTACCATTTCGTGAGTAGATACTTAGATGAATAGGAACAGGAGATATCTGATTTGATTTCCCAGTCATCCTATTAGTTTCATCTTCAATTTCTTTTCGAACCATAGCTACAAAAGATAATAAGAAGTCAAACAAGTTGAAAATAGTTTTCTAAAACACACATTGTTCATCTGTATCTGAGTAGAAAATCCTAAGAAAATAGTTGCAGTAATATAAAAATATTTTCACCAGTGCCAATTTGTACAACAATTTTCACAATCTTCCAATGTAAATTTAAAATCAAACATGCATTGCAAGAAAAAGACATACAGAAATCAGTAAACCGTTTCTTTGGCAAGTGCAGAAACTCTGCATACTCTTGTAACCCTTCCTGTATTCTGTGCAGCTGCAACACCAAAGGCCTCCGCGTCACAATCCCTAAACATTACTTCAAAATGTAAGTCACAAAAACCAAAGCCAACCATTTCTTTTCTTTCATTATTCAAAACATTCTTCAATATTTATTTTTCTCCTAACAGTCTTTCAATTTCCACAGTTTTCTCAATTATCAGCAACAAAACAGAATATGTATACTAAAGATGAAATGAACGGTTAAATCGGTGACGGTAATGTACCTGATCCACGGGGAAGAAAATCACGGCCGACGATGCTCTCTAACACCGATGATTTTCCAGAACTCTGCATTTTCAAAAAATCAGAAACAAAAACAACAAAATGCGGGGACTGTGCAGAACTAAACTGATAGTAAAATTGGTGAATCGAATATAGAAGAGAAGCGAGAAGCAAACCTGACCGCCGACGACAGCGACTGAGGGAAGCGATTCCCAAAGAGAGTGAGAAGCTTGATCGGCGCCGTGGTCACCGAGGAGCGTGCATGCTCGTTGAATTCGGTTAACGAGAGAGATCAATGAGTCCATTGTAGCCATTGGTTCGGATTCTGTTTCTGGTTCAGGTTCGGATACGGGTTCGGATTCTGGTTCGGATGAAGACGAAGAGGTTGTGAAAGTGAGGATGAAGAAGAGAACTAAAGGAAAAAAGAGAATGAGAATAAGAGAAGCTATTGTGTGTGAGAGTTTCAGTTACGTTATTGCGCTTTTCGTTTTTTGTGTTTGAGTTTTAAAATTTGTTTTGTTTGTGTGTGTGAGAGAGCGGAGAAAGTGGGGCACGTAAGTGTGAGTATCGTGGACTTGTGAAGCTGAACTTTTACTGCTTCCGTTTCGAATGAGTCCAACTTTTTTTTATTAGTAAAAGCTTCTATTTACTTCCTTTTCTTTTCGTTTAAGCAAAAGCTTATTATATTTACTTTCTAAAATGTTATTCTTTCTTTTAATTCTTCTTTAAGTTGGCTAAATTAAGAGCATCCCAATCTCAATTCTAATTCCAATTCCAATGGGATTGTCTTAGACTTAGTTAAGTAGTAAGTATTCAACTTATAGGCATCTATTGGAGGATTTGCAAGAGGCATTCTCTCTTTATTTTATTTTGATAATTGATCCTACCATTAGAAAAGAGAAAGGTCGTTTAAAGACAAAAAAAATATGTGCTAATTGCATTGAGTTTATTTCTCGTTAAAAAAATTAAAACAAACACGTGTATTTAAAAGATTCATTGCAAATGAAATTTAAAAGATAAATACTACCTCAATGTTTTTTATCAAAGGTGATTTTTTCACTTTCATAATTAAGAAATGCAGTTATTTTGGATATTTTGTGATGCCAACGGAAAAAGACATAATCATGGAATCCACGCGGAAAGTGCGGGCAATAAGTGGAGAATAAGTGAGACCTCAGTTAAGCACGGAGTACACAATTCTAGCCTCCAACCTATCTCTCAAATATAGATATAATCGAACGACGATCTGCAGTTTTAGTGACTTAGGTGTTGGAGTGTTAACTTTGTAGGTCCATCCTGCTTCGTCGTACCAGAAGCACTCACCACCGCACTAGAAGATCACATTCTTATCTCATTTTTTGTTCCTGATTCCATTACAGAACATTGTCGTCATATATGAAAATCGACATCTAGATTCCTCGAATCCCCACAAAAATCACAATCATTTTCACACAATCCGACAACAACTGACCTTTTTTCTATCCAAATGAATGATCAATTCCGTGAAAGCCATGGTTGCATCAAAATCTGCTCGATTAGACAACTAATGCAGCGTCGTTGCCACAATAGTCAATGTTTCTAATCTCACGAGGGAGGCTCAAATTTCTCCAACGGTTGAGCACGATCTAATCCTGGTTGCTTCTTCTTCTGTTCATACTCCTATAGATCTAATTTCCCCGACGATTGGCCAAAGCACGTTTCAAGTTCTCCCGCGCAACCATGGGTCCACAGATCCCTAGACAATATATGCTTCAAAGCCTTCAACAAATGTGTGTCATATTAGGTATGCAATGGATGGACGATTTGTTCAACAATGTACACTATTGGATTGTATATAGGAGTATGATGGTCTAGAATGGAGTTAAATAGATATTTCCCCTAAAATAGTTCTCAAAAATTTTTCTAAAAATCAGAGTTTAAGATTTGAATGGGAACAGAGGTTTAAAAACGCTTTACAAAAGGAATTACACAATTGAATAGATGTACAAGTGAATACATTAATGATACAATGGTTATGAATCAATTAAACAACCATGTGATAATTAATCTAATGTAATCCAAACAAGACGTTTGAATATAATTTAATTAATTAATAGAATAATTTATAACTACGAATTTCCAGAATAATTACCAGAGAGAATATGTAGTAGAGAGGATCTAACACATACCTAAGCTTAAATATTAAATCACTATAAGAAATAAATCATAACAACATGAAAATCTAGAATGATTAATATCTAAAAATATGCAAACTATGTAAAAAAGAGAAATGTATAGATAATTGTGCATCAGATTTATTGTGGTTTGGTGTGTCGTCCTCGCTTGCACCTAGTCAAGTCTTCAATGTAGATCCATTAAAATTATTACACATGTCTTTTGATACAATAGATAATCATAGAAAAATTAAAAACTTAAAGCCAAATAATAAGCAACACATATCTGAATCTCGATTTTCCTTATGTTGGACACATCTCACTAGGCTGCAAATACTTCAAGATTTTTCTTAGATCTTGAACCAACCAACCTTTCATAACCAAAGCACTCCAAGATTTCATGTGCGTCAATCTTCACTCGTTCCTCATGAAATTTACTTGTCTAAGTCTTTGAACTGATAAACAAGCTAGAAATTCCAAGATTTCATCTGCGTCGATCTTCACTCGACCCTGCCAAAGTTCCCTTGGAGAAGAAAGTCTTATTTTCTTCATTGGATATCAATCACCAAAGTTCACAATCACAGTTTGATTCTTCAATATGAAAGCAAAACAAACTTCAAAAAAACATTAGAACCCTTAATGTACCTCACAACTACCACTTAAACTCTCTCTATATAGTTGAGTAACTACAACAATGGTGTTTTGGGCTAAAGATTGAATATGAAGTTTTTTAGAAGAATCTCACACACACATAACTTATTCACACTCAAGAAATCAACTCAAGAAAGAAGTTTTTCTTCAAGGTTAATTTGAAAGAAAGTTTATGTGATTGACATAACACTTTTGTTTTTTTGAAGATTGTGAGAGAATGAAAAAACTCCTTTGCAAGTTATACGGGTCAAAAAGTACGTGTGTGTGTGTGTGTGTTCCTCCTACAAAGGCAGTGGGACTTAGAGGCCTTAGTAGGTTTATAACAATCGTAGGTGGTTAGGGTTTACCCACGATGGTGAAAAGCCCTGTATAGTGGTGTTTTACGGATCCTGCTCACATGAGGTGAGAGACTCTGTTGATGGACAATATGCTTAGGTATAAGCTTTTGAGAGGTGTGATCATATGAGATATGATATTTTATAAGTGATATGATTTAAGGTGTAATTATATGTATCACTTAAGATATTTCCCCTCCTCCACTGAGGGGAGAAGTATTTACATAGACCATTTATGCCTATGGTTTAGGCAAAACTGGATGGTTCGACCGCTCCCCCTAATCGAGAGGAGATATTGACCATCTATCTTCCAGGAGTAGTGGAGGATTCCATCTCCTTTGGTTGAAATCTTGACACATCATCGGTACCTCGGGGAAGTTCCTCAAGAAGTTGCCTGGTCAATACAACTTTTGGGTGAGGGTGCCCTAATTTAGGACATTCACAAATATAACGCTACATAATCCCTCAAGCACGAGGGATTTGTTGATGATAAAGTGTTTTTAAGCCCATTATTTGAAGTTTGCCTCTCGCCAAAAAGGGGGATTCCCTGGGCCGACGATGCCTTTATATTAAAAGTGGATGAGTCCCTCGTCCGAAAGCGACTATGCTTAAATGTGAGTCCATCAGTTAAAAACAATTATATTTATTGTTTAAGCCCTTAATTGAGGGATGAGTCATATGTTAGGTGTCTCCCGATTAGCTAAAGTGCTATATGGGAATGTCAATTAATCACTTAGCTTGTTACACTTACTTCCATTTAATATGAGCAATGATAGCTTTTTTCTATACCCTAAATGTTAGAGGCACGTGTCAGAAACGTGTTGAGTTTTTTCAAAAACCATAGGGAGTTCAAAGGACCCCTTACGATTTCCTCTATAAAAGATTTTTTCTTTCATTCAGTTCATTTCATTTTATCTTCTGCTCCTGCAAGTTTTCCCAAATCCATATCCATGCATTCACAACCTTACTCCAAGTAGGAGCTTTTCTTTTCTCGTTTTATGTAGTGGATAGGTTTTGCAAAGATGCATTTGAGATGAGGTTAGTTGCCCCTTTTTAACGATTATGACGGTGGTAGTGATTCTTTTTTTTCTTCTGCTTTCCCATGAACAAAAGAGAGAATGTATACCTCCTTCGTCGCATCCAAGGGTGCCAGAGATTTTGAATCTAGTTACATTCTTGAACAGGTCCTTCTTTTTTGATCGAGATGTGAGGTTTCTTCTTCAGAGGATGAAAACAAAGTTATGAGGTTTCTGATTCTCCTTCTCTATATTTCTACTTCTACCTATCTTTTGTCCTTAATACAGTTCCCTCCCAGCTTTTCCATAATATTTTGGCCTACATCAAGTATTTTGAGATGTTCTATAGGGACCTAGTCATCACACTAACTGTGGAAGTCTTCTTCTCTTTCTACACCACAAAATTGCTGAAGGGTATTTAGGTGACCGTGAGTAGCCATTTTTGGGAAATTCATTTTTCGTTCCATTATAATCATTATAAATATTGGAAGGATAAGTTTTCTCGTGTGAGGGGCTAGATAATTCTCTCGGGTGCTAGGAACCGATGGCGCCCCTTTTTTCCATTGTTCTAGACGAGCGATCCTGTGGTGATCACGGGATATGAATAGGAGTTCCTCACCACTAAGAAGAGGAGGATTGTCCAATATTTTTGGTGGTTTGGTGTTTTGTACTGTCTCGAGGTGATTAGACTTTGACTGGGGAGCAGAAAACATCTCGCCGCATACTTAGGTAAGTTGTCCATTGCTCTTTCTTTGTAGGTTTTTCAAATAGTATTTATTACTTTTTACACATTATCAAGTAGATAAAATGTCGAGAATCTCTATTGAGGATAGGCGACAGAGGTGTAAGAAACTCAAGTCTTCTAGCTCGGGTACCAACAATCCATACGGTCACCCTGAGGATTTCATCGTTAAGGGAAAGAAGAGGTGGGTTAAAGATCCGGCTCATAAGTCACCCAATGTAAAGGTTTAGAGGCCAAATGAGGGTTTTTTCTTCATTGGGAATGTGAGTGCCCAGGCGCCTTTTATGGGCGAGGCTTCTCTGCCTCTTACAACTTTGTGGAGCAATGTTGGTTTTAACACTCTCCGATTTAAGAGCTCACATCTCCCTTTCTCTAAGGTATTCCCTATTGATTATCGGGATGATTGTTCCAAACCAA